TATCCTTCAACCTAAACCATGATGTTGAACAATCTTTGTTTTCAGGTCATTTGAGAGTTGTTTTGAGGCTCCCATGTTGCCCCTCTTCAGAGAGGATGCAAAGAGGGGAAAAACTTGCAATTGGTCACCTTAAATAACACCTTTTCATGATTAGATTCACCTGTGTATGTAGGGTCAGGGGTCAGTAAGCTTACCAAACAAATTTTATGTTCCAATAATTAGTCCTAAAGGTATTCAAATCAATTAAAAGACAATGGTGCCCAAATTTACGCACCTACCCAATTTTGTTTAAGTAACTATTGCACACTTTTTGTAAATCCTATAAACTTCATTTCACTTCTCAAATATCATTGTGTTCGTCTGCTATATGATATATTTAAATGAAATTGCTGATCCAAACAACCAATGATTTGTAAAGAAAAAATCATGACAATTATCAGGGTGCACAATCTTTTGCATACCACTGTATTTTACTGGAGAGTAGTTGGTCATTGAGCTGTTGCAGGGCTGTAGAGCTGTTGCGTTACTCACTGACAGAATTGACTGACCTCAGTGCTGCTTCCCATCTTTTAGATTCGTATAGATGTGGTGGCCAATCAGCCTGTTAAACTGGGACCTGTCTCTCAGACTACAACCCCAGTTGTTTCCTACAGCGAGGACATTGCCAGCCGAACCTTGGTTGAGAATATGACACTGAGGATAATGGTAAGCTATTTATTTATTTATTGTAAAATAGCAGAAGCAGCCTAAACTTTTCATAAATAAACTTTGCAGTCATAGTGAGTGAATTTCCATGGTTGATTCCAGGATTTGTATGGCAACCCAGCGGGGCAGGACCTGGGAGGGAAGGTGATCATCACTATAAAGTCCTCAGATGGAGAGAGAAACAAAAGCTTCCCTCTTTTTGAAAGAGGAGGAAGAAGCCTTGCAATTAACTTAGTTGAGGGCAAGGCCCACATCCCTGTGAGTAACCATTCTTCACAGGACCAGCTTTTGTTTTGGAATTTAAGGGCCCCTCAGGGCTTATGATAATTGTTCACTTGCTCTCCTCAGAGGCTGGCTATCAGGGAGAATAGCCCCGGTGACAATAGCAGCACCTACATCCTTGTTTTCAAACCTGAAGTGTCTGTCCATCTCATAACCCTGACTGCTTTTGAGCTCCCCTTCCTTTTTTACAATGGTATGGAAAAACTGAGTGGTAAATGCTATTACGTGCAGCTTCTGAAAACTTAAAGCATTACTTTAATTTTGTTGTTTTTATACATTTTTTTTTGTTTTTGTTTTTACAAAATTCACTAATACATGTCTTTTAAACTTTTTTTCTTTCCTTTTTTTACTACACGTGAACATATAATGAAGGACTGTGGGGTGACTTTAGATTCGGACTTGTTGAAGAAGTATCTGCATGCTTTTAGCTGGAAGCTCTAACAAAAGAAATCTCTGTATTACAATATATTAAACTATTTATCAGATCTAATCATTCCAGCCCACTTTGATCACTACCTGTGAGCCAAAAAACTGAAATGCTATTTAAAGCTATTATACTTAAGAGTAGTATTAATAATAGTATTACT